TGTCACCAGGGCTCCCAAGGGGGTGGCTTTAAAGGACAGAAATGTGTTTCTGTTCTGGAGGCCATCAAGGTATCGGCCATGTTGATTCCTGCTGAGGGCTTTGAGAGAGGACCAGTTCCAGGCCTGGCTCCTAATTTCCAGCGGCTGATGGTGACCTTGGCCTTCTTTTACTGCTTGAAGATGTATCTGCTTCTGCCATGGCATGACCCCGTGTGTGTGACTCTTCCCATGTCTGTCTCTCTCTTTGACAGGACAACCCTCAGAGGAGATTAGTGTTCAGACTCAACCTGCTCCAGTGTGATTTCTTTAACTGATCACATCTGCAAAGACAAACACCATTTCCCCAAAGTCATAGTCAATTGGTGCAGGGCTCAGGACTCTGACATATCTTTCTTTTAGGACACAGAAGATAATAATAATATTGGGATGGGGAAACGCTAACTTACTGATACTTACTGTACGCCAGGCACTGGTTCAAATGCTTTCCGTATATTTATTCCTTATCAAAGTATGAAGAGCTTCTAGCATCCCCATCTTACAGATGAGGACACTTGAGGCACAGAGAGGCTATGTCACTTGCCCAAGGTCACATAGCTAGTACATGACAGGGTGGGATTTGAACCCAGGCGAGAGCATTCCAAAGCCCAGAATAAAAGATGGCGGGCAGGTAGGCCGAATTGAAGTGGGTGCTTTTGTAGATGGCACTGAGGGAAAGAAGGAACCCTGGTGGTGCAGTGGTTAAAATGCTTGGCTGCTGACTAAAAGGTTGGTGGTTCAAGCCCATCAGATGCTCTGTGGGAGCAAGATGTGGCAGTTGCTTCTGTAAAGATTTATAGGCTTGGAAAGCCTACCGGGCACTTATGAGTTGGAATCTACTTGATGGCAGTGGGTTTGGTTGGGTTTTTATTGAGGGAAAGAGATGGGGCCAGTGCGGCTCTGTGACGGTCCCCAGGGCTGCCTGGCCTGACCCTTCTCCTGCTCCTCAAATCCTTCAGGATCCACAAGTTGGTGATTGATGACGTCCGTCCTGAGGATGAGGGAGACTACACATTTGTGCCCGACGGCTATGCCCTGTCCCTCTCGGCCAAACTCAACTTCCTGGGTGAAGATGCCCCTTCCTTTTCTTCTGGGAGTCTCAGGACCCACCCTTCCAGGCCCAGGGGCCCCTGGCTACTTCCTTCAAGATTAAGTTTCCCTGTGGGGTTGTGGGCAAGTGTCTGTTGTCTCTTGGCATGGAATCAGATGAGAAATGGGAAGAGAGAATATTGTTTGTGTTGAAGTGTGTCCACGAGGGAGGAGAATTAGGACTAGGAATAGTCTGTGGGCCTGAACCTCACCACAACACCTCAGTTCCCTGGGAGACCTGCCAGGCCTCTGTCTCTGCCTCTGGGTGGTAAAGGTGGGTTAGGGGCTTGCTGTATTTAGACCTAAGCATCCTGTCTTCTTTGTCCCGCAGAAATTAAGGTGGAGTATGTACCCAAGCAAGGTAAGGAGCACGGGCTGCTCTGGTAAGCTAAGGGCTCAGAGTCCTGGGTCTCAGGGAGGAGGGGGTTGGAAGTCTGGAATCCCGGCTGCGAGGGAGGAGGGGACTGGGGCCTTGGAGTCCTGGATCTGGGGGTGAGGGAGTTGGGAGGCCAGACTCCTGAGTTTGAGGGAGGGGAGCTGGGATCCCAATTCTTGGGTCCTTGGGGAGGAGGAGGCTGAGAGCCAGGCTGCTGGATCCTAGGAGATAAGAGAGTTGGGGTCCTGAACTCCTGGGTCTTTATGGTTAGAACTCAGCTTCTGGGGGATCCTCTGGTGGAACATTGGGACGTCCCAGGTGACCACTTCCAAACCCTCAGTATCTCTTTTTGGCCACCAGAACCACCAAAGATTCACCTGGACTGCTCGGGGAAGACCTCGGATAATTCGATTGTGGTCGTGGCTGGAAATAAGCTGAGGATGGACGTGTCCATCACGGGAGAGCCTCCTCCCGTCGCCACCTGGTTTAAGGAAGATGAGGTATGCTGAGGCTTCTCTGTGCCCTGAGTTCTTTTCCCTCTCAGCTCTGCTGGGGGACCTTAGGCAAGGTGCTTTCCCTCTCAGCCTCAATTTAATTGTCTGTAAAATGAAAATGATGGTTCCTTCTTCAGAGGATTGCTTTGAAGATTAGAAGTTATATTGTCTATAACCTAATATAGGGCTGAGAACATGGTGGACATTCCATCCATCCCTCCATCCATCCAATCCATACCCACCCATCCATCCATCCATCTATCCATTCATCCATTTATCCACCCATCCATCCATCCAATCCATATTCATCCATCCATCCATCCAATCCATCCATCCATCCATCTATCCATCCATCCCTTCATCCATCCAATCTATCCATCCATCAATCCATCCATCCATCCATCCATCCATCCATCCAATCAATCCATGTCCATCCATCCATCCAATCAATCCATATCCATTCATCCAATCCATATTCATCTATCCGTCCATCCATCCATCCAATCCATCCATCCATCCATCCATCTAATCCATCCATCCATCCATGCATGTATGAATTAATCAACCAATACAGCCATCCACTCATCCATCCATCCATCCAGTAATTCATCTATTTATTTATCTATATATTCATATGTCTGTCCATCCATCCATTTACCTATAAACACATCTATCCATCCATCCATCCATTGTAACTAATATTATCCACCCATCCATCCATCCATCCATCCATCCATTCATCCTATATTTTAACCCAGACCCTGAGGCAGTTCAATTTTCCTTCTCTCTTCTGAGATTCAGTTTCCTCTTCTATAAAATGGATAGATTTGCCTCAGTCTAACGTTTCCTCTATGCCAGGCATTGAGGGTACAACCATAAATCAGACCCAGCCTTCCACGGGCCTTCAGTCTTAAAGACAGAGTCACAGGGTGAGCAGGGTTGAGAAAAATGGAGATAACAAGAAGCTAAGAGAATTCATGATATGGAGCCGTCACTTTCAGCTGGGCATATCCAAGAATGCTTCCTGGAAGAGGTGACTCCTAGATGAGTCCTAAGGGTTAACAATATTGCAGGCAGATGAGTGGAACGGAGCATTGCATGAATGGGGGGCAACCTTGCAGGGGTTGGGGACAAAACCGATGGTGCTTTGAGGGTGAGGAGGACAGGTGGGAGGAATGAAGAGTCTAGGTCTAGACCCAGAAGAACCTCAGAGGCCAAGTCCAGGGCCTTGTATGTTGTGTGGTGATAAGAAACCATTTAAGAGGTTTTCTTTATTTTTAAAATTTTTATTGTGATTTGGGTGAAAGTTTACAGAGCAAGTTCACTCTCCATACAGCAGCTCACATACACTTTGTCTCATGACATTGACTGCAATTTCCCCCAATGCAACTGCTCCCCTCCCACTTCCTCCCCATAGTTACCTCTTCCCTGTGTCCATCCCTCCATGCACTCCTGCCCCCTGAGCTGTCTCCTGTGCAGACACAGCCCTTCTTTCTCCCATGATTGTTCTCTCCAAGGACTGTATCTACCTAATGTAAATGTTTACCCCATATGCTGTCTTTTGTTTGGCTGGAAGCCACAGGAGTGGGTTCAGTTGCAGACCCGAAGTGCAGCTAGGGACCATAGTCTCAGAGGTTCCACCAGGCTCTAACAGACCAGCAAACCTGGTCCCCCGCCTTTTTTAAATTATTTTGAGTTTTATTCCACCTTGTTCTCCCACTGTCCAGGATCTCCTACACAGGTCCCCCTGCGTGTGGAAACCATTGAAGAGTTTTGAGCAGGGAGGAGGCATAGTCAGGTCTGGGTTTGAGGAGCAGTAGCGCAAACCCGTCTTTGGCCGTGTCTAGGTATTCTCAGCCACTGAGGGCAGGGTCCACATCGAGAAATGGACCGACACAAGCAGCTTCGTGATCGAGAGTGCTGAGCGCGCGGACGAGGGTCGCTACACCATCAAGGTCACCAACCCTGTTGGCGAGGACGTGGCCTCCATCTTCTTACGAGTTGTGGGTAAGCAGAGAGAGCTCTCAGGGCCAGGCTGGGGGGTATTTTCCAGAGGCTGTAAGGGGATCCCTAACTCCCCTGCCTCCCCCCACAGATGTCCCAGACCCCCCGGAGGCTGTGCGGGTCACCTCAGTTGGAGAGGATTGGGCCATCCTTGTCTGGGAGCCACCCAAGTATGACGGTGGGCAGCCACTCACCGGTGAGTGGACATATGCCGCTGTCCCCTACTTCTGATCCTATCCCATAACTTCTCTTTTATCTCCCAAATCCCTCAGTGACCTTCCTTGAAGACCTGGTTGTTTATCTTTGATGCCTCCCAATTCCTTTGGTCTTCCTTCATGAGTCTCTTCTCCCCAGTGAACTGACAATTCTCACTTTGTCCAATGGTCTGGGACTTTTGTTTTTGGTGACCCATGAGCCCTCTTGGTTTCTAACCCCATGACTGGTGGTTTCTAACTGCTCTGTAAGTCTTGAGCTCAGCCCTGGGTCATGTGACCTCTTCGATGTGTCCTCGCCCCAACTGATCTGTGACCCCCCATGACCTCCCCTTGACCACCTGCTCCTCTGTGCTTGGGGGCCCTCTAGGGTACCTTCTGGAGCGGAAAAAGAAGGGCTCTCAGCGCTGGATGAAACTGAACTTTGAGGTCTTTACGGAGACAACCTACGAATCCACCAAGATGATTGAGGGCATTCTCTATGAGATGCGAGTCTTTGCAGTCAACGCCATAGGGGTCTCCCAGCCCAGCATGAACACTAAGCCTTTTATGCCCATTGGTAAGATCCCCATGACACCCTCACTGACCACCCCCCTTCATCCTTTGATCCACATCCTGCCCTGCATTGATCTTAGACCCCACAGTCTCTGTAGACTTCTGTTAGCTCTCACCCAACAACCCTACACATTGACCGTCAACCCCACCCATCTCCTTGATCCCTTCCTGAACCAATGCATCACTAGGATGACCCCAGACCCTATGGTGACATCTGCATTCCCCACCGACCTCTACCAGACTGACACCTATTCCTGACCTTGAGGACCTCATGATCCCTTGATATTTTGTTGGCTTCATTATCCCTGGTGATACTTCATTGCTCGTTGACCTTATTTGACATTTGATCCCTCTGCTGGCCAGTGACTCCAATGCCAACCCCTGACTTCTCATTTGCCCCCACATCACTGGATCTTTATAGCACCCACGAGTGAGCCCCAACACCTGATGGTGGAGGACGTGACAGACACCACCACCACGCTCAAGTGGAGGCCTCCAGACAAGATCGGAGCAGGTGGCATCGATGGCTACCTGGTGGAGTACTGCCTGGAAGGATGTGAGTGGCCCGGTCCAGCCTGGTGGGGGGCAGTGACCCATCCAGGTGGGCGTCCGATGTGGAACTGAAGATGAGGATGCGTAGGGAGAGACAGCTTGTGTAGCTGTTCTGTGTCTGTACTTGCATGAGTCCTGTTACGGGTGGGCCCCCGACGACCAGCTTGTCCCTTTTTCATTTCTCCATTTCTTCCCTAAATCCATTCTCCATCCAGCAATACCTTGTTTTCCATCCGTCTGTCCTTCCATCCATGCATCCATCTATCCACCTATTTATCTACTACATGTGTCCCTCTTTTCCTTCCTTCCTCCTTCCTTTTATCTGTTTGTCCATCCATCCATCTGTCCATCCATCCATCCACCTATATTTCCTTTCTTCCTTCCTTCCATCCATCCATTCTTCCATCCACTTGTATTTCCTTCTATCCATTCATTCATCCATACATCCATCCATACATACATACATACATCCACCTATATTTCCTTTCCTTCTATCCATCCATCCATCAGTATTTCCTTTCCTTCCTTCCTTCCTTCCATCTATCCTTCCATCCATCCATCTGTCCATCCATTCATCCATCCACCTATATTTCCTTTTCTTCCTTCCTTCCTTCCATCCATGCATTCATCCATCCACTTGTATTTCCTTCTTTCCATTCATCCATCCATACATACATACGTACATACATACATCCACCTATATTTCCTTTCCTTCTAACCATCCATCCATCCATATTTCCTTTTCTTCCTTCTATCGATCCATCCATCCATATTTCCTTTTCTTCCTTCTATCCATCCATCCGTCCATCTATCCATCTATATTTCCTTATTTTTTCCCTTTATTCCTTCCTTCCTTCTTTCTCAGTCATTTGTCCACTCATCCATCCATCCATCCATCCTTCTGTCCATCTGTAAATGTTTTGGATCATCCAACCCACCACTCATCTAGTATTTTTTTTTTTTTTAATCATATAGCTACCTACTAACCACCATCATTCCATCCTTCCATCCCTCCATTCCTTCTTGCCTCCATTCCTTCCATTTATCCAGTCATATGACTATCTAATCGTCTTTTAACAATCTCCTTGTCTGTCCATCCACCCATCCTTCCTTCCATCTAGTCATCCATCTCTCCATCTTCCACTGAACAAACCCCATGCCAGACCCAGTGCATGGTTATGGAGGTATCTCCAACACGACCATCTGCCTGGAAAGACAGACCCGAACACAGATCACCTCGACACCATATCCCAGGCTTCAAAGTCAGACAGATGTGGGTTCCAATCCTGCCCCTGGACTTTCTAATGTGTGACCTTGGGCAAGTATCCCAGCCTCAATTTCTTCATCTCCAGATGGCGAAGACAGTTCCCGTCTTGCCAGGGTACAGTGATGGCTGCATTCGGTAATGCATGTACACGAATGGATGGCTGGACCTTGTCGGCTTCTTCTCTCTCTTCCCAGCACTCTTCACCTCATTCCTGTCCCTTTCCCCATTTGTGCCAGAGCCACTGTGACATTTCAGAACCAAGCTTGTTAGAGTTTACTCTGCTGATGGTTGGTCTGACCCGTGTTGGTTCACCAACGCCACAGTTTCAAGCCTAGACAGAAAGGTGCGTTGCAGAAAAGCAGGGAATTCATTGAGCTGTCTCTAAACACAACTTGCAGTTCTCCCTCTGAGACACACTTGAGTGCTTGCTCCTCCAGCCTCCTCGTCTTATACCCTTTTTCCTCGCTTCTCCATCCCAACTCCAGCAACAGAGTGGAGCTCTCTAGAATCAGACAGCTGTGGGCTTCCTTCCTAGTCCAACACTTCCTAGCTGTGTGACTTTGGCAAGTTCCTTAACCTCTCTGGGCCTCCATGAAGTGATCTCTAAAGTGGGAATAACATAGGGTTGAAGTGAAGACTGACGAGCTAATGCATGTGTCACCTGAGAACGTGGTCACAGTGTTGTTGTTGTTGTTATTTGCCGTCGAGTCGGCCCCGACTCCTAGCGACCCCTCCTTGGGTTTCCGAGGCAGTATCACTACGGAAGTAGATTGCCCAACCTTCCTTCCGAGGAGCGGCTGGTGGGTTTGAACCACCAGCCTTCTGGTTAGCAGTCAAGTGCCTTAGGCACTATGCCACCAGAGCTCCCAGTAGATGCTAATAAATGAAAAGCTGCTGCTGTTGGATCGTGGTGGCCCGAGTGACCAGCAGTCAATGAGTTGAGGGTGTGCGGAAAGGCTCGGAGGGGAATCTTGAGCTCCACGAGCCGTGCTGTCTCCACAGCCGATGAATGGATCCCTGCCAACACGGAGCCTGTGGAGCGATGTGGGTTCACCGTCAAGAACCTCCCGACAGGAGCAAAAATTCTCTTCCGGGTCGTTGGGGTCAACATTGCAGGACGCAGTGAGCCAGCCACCCTGACCCAACCGGTCACCATCCGGGAGATTGTGGGTGAGTGACCCTACAGACCCAGTTGGCATCACTCAACCTGTCCTTTCAGTGGTCATCATAGGATCCCCCAGACAACTTCATCACCTTGGTCTCTCCATCCCTGACACCTGCCCAGTCAGTGGTCCTCCTTAGGATCTGCCCAGACCTCTTCACCCTTGGTTTCTCCACCCGTGAAATGTCCCTCACCCCGGAGCTGAGCCCCATTCCTGTTTGTGCCCTCAGAGCAACCCAAGATCCGTCTTCCCCGCCATCTCCGCCAGACGTACCTCCGTAAAGTGGGGGAGAAGCTGAACCTCCTCATCCCCTTCCAGGTACGGGGCGCTGGGACCAAGGGGGAGGGGTGACTCCTGCAGGTGGGGCCCCTCTGTGTGTGTAGGACCTGGGCTGACATCCCCGCTACCCATGTGGCCTCCCCTAGGGAAAGCCACGGCCCCACGTGGTGTGGAAAAAGAATGGGGCCCCGCTGGACACCTCCCGGGTGCACGTGCGGACCAGCGACACGGACACCGTGCTGTTTGTGCGCGAGGCGGCCCGCTCCGACTCCGGAGAGTACGAGCTGAACGTGGAGATCGAGAACATGAAGGACACGGCCACCATCCACATCCGGGTCGTGGGTGCGCTGCCAGGGCAGGGCACGGGGTGGGCGGGAAGAGAGGGACCGTGAGTCAGGGGAAGCAGGTTGTGAGGGGAGGAAGGGGGATGGGAACAGCAGTAGGAGGTGAGAGGAAGACTGAGCAGGTGAGGAAGAGAGATTGGATGGAGGAAAGATGAGGAGGTGGGAGGTAAGGAATGAGACGGGAATGAGGGGAGGGCAGGTGGGAATGGAGTGAGGGCAAGACCCCAGAGATTCCAGAATGAGGAGAGTTGCTGAGGAGACATGAGGTGGCAGAGGACTGGCAGGAGGCGGTGAGGGGGCCGGGGTGAGCATGGGGAGGCAAGTGTGGGGGCGCAACGTGAGGTGCGCCAAGTGTGGGCACAGGAGGTGAGGAGGTGGACAGTGAGGGGCTGGGGCTGATGTGCGCGTCGCCCCTCAGAAAAAGCAGGGCCACCCGAGAACGTGATGGTGAAGGAGGTATGGGGCACCAATGCCCTGGTGACGTGGCAGCCCCCCAGGGACGACGGGAACAGCGAGATCACAGGCTACTTCATTCAGAAAGCTGATAAGAAAACCATGGTGAGTCGAGGGTGAGGGTAGGGTGGGCGGTGGGGGAGAAGAGTTGGCGTGAGGCGGCCACCTCACACCGGGGGACACCGAGGCGGGACACTGGGAGCAGGTTGGGGCTCTGAGGGAGGCCTTCTGGCCGAGATCTGGTGCGGGATGGGTTTTCCTTCTTTTTTATTGGGGTAAAATTCACACAACAAAATAAACCACCAACCACTTTGCTGTGCGTGTACCGTTAGGTGACATTTCACACATGCACGGAGGTATCCAGTTTGAAAACATTTTCATCACCTGAAAGGGGGTGCTGTAGCCACAAGGAGTCGTCTCCGCCCCTCCCCCGAGCCCCTGGCAACCACTCATGTCTTCTCTGTCTCTGGATTTGCCTCTCCTGGATTTCTCCTATAAATGGGATCCTCACATAAATGGCCTTGGGTCTCTGGCTTCTTTCACTCAGCATGTTTTCTGGGTTCATGCATGTCACAACGTGTCTGAAACCTTCACTTTTCTCTCTCTCTCTTTTTTAAGACCTTCACTCTTCTTGATGGCTGTGTACTATTCCACTGTATGCTCGGGCCTCATTTTGTGTCTGTTCATCATGTTTTTGGTTGTTATTGTTGTTTGGATGATGTCTCATTCATGTTTTTTTTTTTTTTTTCCATTTGATTTTTTAATTGTGATTTGGGTGGAAGTTTACAGAGCAAATGGGTTTCCCATTCAACAGTTCGTACATTCTGCTTCGTGACTTTGACTGCAGTCTCCACAGGGTGACAGCTCTCGTTCCAGCGCCTCCCTGTGTTTCCTGTTTCTCTTCCTCCTTCTTTTCTGTCCCCTTCTGTCCTCTGATCTCTGTCCCTGAGCCAATGCTGCCCTCTGATCTCGTGTGGCTGATTGTTCATCTGAGGCTTGTCTCCTGTTGTCTGACAGTTGAGCCTTGGGGATGAGTTCAGTTCCAGGCTTGAAGGGAGACTCAGGGCCATAGTCTTGGGCTTCCATTCATCAGTTGATGGACACTTGGGTTGTCTCTATCTCTGTCTAGTGGAAATAATGCTGCTATGAATGATGGCTTTTATTTTCGGCTTTGAAAAAATGTATTTTATTTTTGTTGTTGAAAATATACACAGAACACACACCAATTCAAGTTTCTCCACGTACAATCGCTGATGACATGCTTTGAGCTGTGCACCCACATTCTCACCTGCCTTTCTTGAGTTGTTCCTCCACCATCAGCATAAACTCATGGCTCTCTAAAGTTCCTATCTAATCTTTCGACCCCCATTGGGTTTCTGAGGCTGTAAATCTTTATGGAAGTAGATTGCCCCATCTTTCTTCTGGTGAGGGGCTGGTGAGTTTGAACCCATTGGGTTTCTGAGGCTGTAAATCTTTATGGAAGTAGATTGCCCCATCTTTCTTCTGCTGAGTGGCTGGTGAGTTTGAACCGCTGACCTCCTGGTTAGCAGCCAGGAGGTCAGCAGCCAAATGCCTTATCCACTAGGCCACCAGAGCTCCTTATAGCTAGATCTTAAAACAGCCCAAGGCAGACATCTTTTACTAGTTAAGCTGAATTACTGTTTGGTTTTAAGAAGACTTCAGGGGATATTTTTGGTTTAAGGTTGAACGATTATCTTAGGGCAATAGTTTTTTTTTAATTTAAATTTTTATTGTGATTTGGGTGAAAGTTTACAGAGCAAATTCACTTTCTGTATAGCAGCTCACATACACTTTGTCTCATAACATTGACTGCAATTTCCCACGATGCAACAGCTTCCCTTCTACGTCCTCCCTATAGTCACCTCTTCCCTGTGTCCTTCCCTCCATCCACTCCTGCCCCCCAAGCTGTCTCCCTGTGCATACACAGCCCTTCTATTCTCCCATGATTGTTCTCTCCAAGGAGTGTATCTACCTAATGTAAATGTTCAGCTCATATGCCTGTCTTTTGTTTGGCTGGAAGCCACAGGAGGGGGTTCAATTCCAGACCTGAAGGGCAGCTAGGGGCCATAGTCTCAGGGGTTCCAACAGGCTTCATCAGACCAGCAAACCTGGTCCCCCCCTTTTGTGTGTGTGTGTGTGATTTTGAGTTTTGTTCCACATTGTTCCCTGTCTCTCTATCCGGGGTCTCCTACATGGATCCTCCTCCGAGTGGCTGACAGTGGTAGCCAGGCACCATCTAGTGTCATAGTCAGATAGGCTGAGGATCACATGGTGTACCAGTCCCTTGGACTAATTTTTTCCATGTGTCTTTGGTTTTCTTCGTTCTTATTTGCTCTGGATGACGAGAAACCCATTGTTGCATCTAGATGGCCGCTTGCAAGCTTTTAAGATCCCAGTCGCCACTCGCTAATGTAGGAAGTGGGACAATGTTTTGTGTAGTATGTTATGCCAATTGAGCTTGATGTCCCCGGCAACTGCGCTCCCAAGCTCACAGGTCCAACTACTCGCTCCCTCTGGGTAGCTGGCTGTGGCCAAGAAGTGACTACAACCTTGTCCTTTGTCAGCTCTACTATACCCCTGGGAGTTCTTACAGAACATACAATACACTTGTAGAAACATTGTCTGCCAGCCCTATACATGGTCATGGGCACACTTCCCCCTGCATAGATGTATCTAATAGTTCAGCCTATCCACCCATCTACCCATGTTTCCCTTCACTGACAACACAGTACTGTGTGTGCAGAAGGGGTCATCTTTGTTGTCTGTCCCTCCCATGTACCTGTCTGTCTTCCTCTTCCTCAATGCCACCGTGTTGATCACTCACATTTGGTGCATTGCCCTTCTCTTCACCCAAATCAGTACTTGTCTCTACCTATCTAACAATGTTCCCTCCCCTCCATTCCCACCCCTGGTAACCAAGAAAGAAAATTTTCTTTCATGTATAAACCTTTCCTTGACTTTTTACAATAACTGATTAATACAATATTTGTCCTTCTGTGATTGACTTATTTCACTCAGCATCAAAAACAAAAAAATCACTGCCATTAAGTTGGATCTGACTCATAGTGACCCCTCCTCCTTGGGTTTCTGGGGCAGTATCACTACGGAAATAGATTGCCCGACCTTCCTTCCAAGGAGTGGCTGGTGGGTTTGAACTGCCAGCCTTCTGGTTAGCAGTCAAGTGCCTTAGGCACTAGGCTACTAGCGCTCTCAGCATAATGTCCTCCAAGTTCATCCATGTTATGCAGTGTTTTGCAGATTCTCCTTATTCTTTAGGGTTGCATAGTATCCATTGTGTGTATGTACCATAGTTTGGTTATCCAGTCTTCTGTTGATGGGCACCTAGGTTGTTTCCATCTTTTTGCTATTTTAAGTAGTGCTGCAATGAACATGGGTGTGCATATATCTGTTCTTGTCCTGGCTCTCACTTCTCTAGGATATATACCTAGTAATGGAATTGCTAGGTCAAATGGTATTTTTAATTCCAACTGTTTAAAGAATCACCATACTGCTTTCCACAGTGGTTCTATCATATTACAGTCCCACCAGCAGTGTATGAGAGTCCCAATCTCTCCACATCCTCGCCAACATTTGTTATTTTTAGGGCAATAGTTTTGGGGGTTCATCCAGCCTCTGTGGCTCCATAAAGTCTGGATTCCATGAGAATTTGAAATTCTGTTCTGCAATTTTCCCTCTTTTGATCAGGATTCTTCTATAGAATCTTTGATCAACATTGATGAGTTTCCTTAAAGTGGGACACACTTTTCTCACCCCCTGGCCCTTCTTGTGTCTCTGTCCACTTGTGTGTGTCCCCTTGTGCTCAACCCTCCCTGTCTCTACTCTAGGAGTGGTACAATGTTCATGAACACAACCGCCACACCTCCTGCACTGTATCTGACCTCATCGTGGGCAATGAATACTATTTCCGCATCTACAGTGAGAACTTCTGTGGACTCAGTGACTCTCCTGGTGTCTCCAAGAACACAGCTCGTATCCTCAAGACAGGTACTGGCTGCTGTCCTCCACAGAGGTCCACCTTGAGTTCTCTGACCCTCTCCTTCTCCCCCGGACTCAACGCAGATGGCACCTGGGGACCAAGGAGAGGAGGATGGGCTTGTTCCCTGGGTAGGAGGACACTCTGGGAACTCAGCCGTCTTACAGGTGTATCTCCTCTCACCCAGGACTCACCTTCAAACCGTTTGAGTACAAAGAGCATGACTTCCGAACAGCTCCCAAGTTCCTGACACCCCTGATAGACCGGGTGGTCGTGGCTGGATATGCTGCTGCTCTCAACTGCGCCGTCAGAGGCCACCCCAAGGTGCCGGGGGGGGGGGCCGAGATCCATGTGTGTGTGTGTGAGAACCTCGGGAGGAACTCTTCAATAAGATAAAACCTCACTCCCTGCCATGCCCACTCCTTATCCCCAAGTTCTCGATTTCATGGGATCTGCTCATTTTAAGCCCACTTCTGACACCACGAGCACCCTGCTCTCTTTCTTTCTCTGGCTCGAATTGGACATTCTAGCTTCCTGTTCCTCTCCTTCCCTGGCCAGAGCCCGGGTCTCAGAAGTCACCCTGTCTTCCTGCCTTTTTTTTTTTTTTTTTCCTGCCCTATGACTGCCAGGGCACTGCTTGTCTTGACAGCCTGAAGAAATGGTCATTCAGTTCCTCCTGGCTTATCCAAGGACAAAAGTTAACCCAAGGACAAATGCCAACCCCTCTGAAATAGAAACCTTGGGCAGTTTAGAATTCCATGGCTTCCTAAGGTCTTCCTGCTCCATCCGTTTCCAGGCTGATGTCTTGGAATGTAAACACTCGCAACCTTGAGCTCCAGTGACTCAGCAAGGTCAAGGGTTGGCAAACTACTGACTGTGGGCCACTTGTTTTTCTAAATAAAATTTTATTGGAACAAGCTATGCCCATATCTATGACTACCTTTGGGCTGCAACAGGAGAGCTGAGTAGTTCCAACAGTGACGATAATGGCCTACAAAGCCAAAACCACTGACTCTGGCCTTTTACGGAGAAAGTTTGCCAACCTCTGATCTAGGCCTTGGGTTTTTAGCTTCTGTCCCCTAGGGCACACCACAGGTTCATTACTGCATGCACCTCATGCATCCACCCACTTACTGACCCCACTCATTCACTCATTCCACACATTTATTCACTTACCATTCCATTCTTTTCTTTTCTTTTTTTTTTTAATTGTGATTTGGGTGAAAATTTACAGAGCAAATTCACTTTCCATACAGCAGTTCACATACACTGTCTCATGACATTGACTACAATTTACCCCAATGCAACAGCTCCCCTCCCACTTCCTCCCCATAATTACCTCTTCCCTGTGTCCATCCCTCCATGCCCTCCTGCTCCCTGAGCTGTCTCCCTGTGCAGACACAGCCCTTCTTTCTCCCATGATTGTTCTCTCCAAGGAGTGTATCTACCTCAGGTACATCTTCAACTCATATGTCTGTCTTTGTTTGGCTGGAAGCCACAGGAGTGGGTTCAATTCCAGACCTGAAGGGCAGCTAGGGACCATAGTCTCAGTGGTTCCACCAGGCTCTATCTGACCAGCAAACCTGGCCCCCCCTTTTTTTTTCTCTCCAAATGATTTTGAGTTTTGTTCCACATTGTTCTCCCTCTCTATCCAGGATCTCCTACATCACCACTCCATTCTTTACTCCCTTCGTTCATTCATTACTCACTTCATTCATTCATTCCATCTACCCGTTTTCCTCACTCACTCATTCATTGATCCTTTCAGCAAACATTCTCAGAGGCTTTGTAAGTGCTGGACGAGGTGACAAGCAGTCTCTGTACACTGGGGGTGACTGACATTAATCCAAAGTCACACGAGTAAAAGATGAGAAACAGTGGTCCGTGTGCTAGAGAGGTTCAGGCGGTTACGGGAGTGGGAAACAGGTGTTCCCATCCCATGTGAAGAGTCCCCATGTGGTACAGTGGTTCCCATGCTTGGCTGCTGATGGAAAGGCTGGTGGTTCAAACCCACCCAGAGCTGAACCATAAGAAAGGGCTGGCAATGTCGTTCTGAACAGTCAGTCATCGAAAACCTGAGCAGCACAGTTCTACTCGGACGCACATCGGGTCGCCATTATTCAGAGCCCACTCAGTGGCAGTGGGTCACTGGTCCCAGTCTGGGGGCCGAGGAGTGGGAGCTGGGGGCCAAGCTCAGGGTGAGCTGAGAACTGAAGGCCAGCAAGAAGGGAATTGGGTAAAAAGAGGAGGGAAGGGAAGTACTGAAAGAGGGAGCAGTTAGAGCCAAGGTCCCAACATGGGCGCCTCGCCTGGTCTGTCTGAGGTGAGGTTGGAAGGCGGGAGAGGGGCGGGAGGTGAGGACAGAGAAGGAACGGGGCGAGTGGTGTTGGACGCTGTGGGTCACAGGAGCGAGCTGTGTTCTGAGAGCCATGCTGTTGTGAGGTGCCGTCCATTCGGACGCACAGTGACCCCACAGGACAGAGCGGAACAGCTCCATGGGTTGTCTTGGTTGTGATCTTTGGGGGGACAGCCCTCCGGGCCTTTCCTCCTGTGGAGTCACTGGGTGGGTTCAAACCATCAACCTTCTGGTTAGCAGCTGTGTGCCTAACCATCGCACCACCAGTGCTCCTGTCCTTAACAGCGAGCCTTAACCAATACCCGGTAAAGCAGAGAGGACCAACTGAAGGTGGGAGAGGACTAGTGACTAGTTCTGCGTCAGTCAGGGAGGGCGGGCACAGCCAAGACGAGAACCCCAGTGTGCTCCCAGAAACCCCGTTTGCCATCACCCGGGGCCCCCTCTCATTTCTCGCCCTCACCTGCCACCCCCCCAACAGCCCAAGGTGGTCTGGATGAAGAACAAGATGGAGATCCGTGAGGACCCCAAGTTCCTGATGACTAACCACCAGGGGGTCCTGACGCTGAATATCCGCCGGCCCTCCCCCTTCGACGCCGGCACTTACTCCTGCCTGGCTGTCAACGAGCTGGGGGAGGCGCTGGCCGAGTGCCGGCTGGAAGTCCGAGGTGAGCTGCCCGGCTGACCCCTCGTTGGAGGGCCCCAGGCTGAGCCATGCTAGGCTCCAGGGAGGAGTCAGCCCTGGGCCCTCTAACAGCGAAGCTGAATTCACCCACTAACAGGAGCGTCGCAGGGCCGTGCCCGCTGTCCTGAGAGTGGCTCAGGGGCGTTGGGACAGTGGGGCGGGAGCCAGCCTGGGCAGGAGGGGGACTCAGAGATGGTTCTCCAAGGGAGCTGGGGAGTGGAGCGAGGCAAGAGCGGGTGTTTGTGAGTTGCGTTGCGTTGATTGTGACTCACGGAGACCCCATACGAGCACAGCAGACTTGTTCCATGGGGTCCTTCAAGGCTGTGGCTTCCTCCGAGGCACCTCTGAGTGGGTTCCAACCGCTGGCATTTTGCCAGCCGTCCAGCACGGGAAAGGTCACCACCACCCGGGAACTGGAGGGGAAGTGTCCACTCGCTCCCTTGGTGGCCAGCCAGGGTCAGCACCCTGAGGGGTGGGGGTGGGGCACACGAGCCCATCCCTGAGGCCGCCTGGTGGCTGCGGCTGTAACCCAGGCAGCGATTCTGATTCATAGCAACCCGACGTGGCAGGGCAAGGCTGCCCCGTAGGGCTTCCTGGGCGGCCATCTTTGTGGGATGGGTTTGAACTGCCGGCCTTGCGGTTAGCAGCCAGGCGCCGAAGCACCGTACCCCAGGCCTTCTTACCGTCCCCTCTGTCATTCTCCCCACAGTGCCACAGTGAAAGCTTCTCGCCCCTCCCTGTCCGGAGTTACCGCTCAGAACATGAGACAACGCATCTGGTCTTGGACTTTCACGTGTGTGTGTGTTCTTCAGTGTGCGGTTGGGGGGGGGGTCATGCTGGGGTTGGTGATGGGGGCCGCCATGTTAGGATGGGAGCCATGATGAGGCCGACCATATTAAGCCAGCCATCTTAAGACAGCTACTTTAGTTAGTCAACTGTGTAAGGAGTCAGCCATCTTGGGACAGCCAATTTTGTCAGTCAACCATGTACGGAGCCAGCCAGCTTGGGGCAGCTACTTAAATTAGTCAACCATGTATGGAGCCAGCCATCTTGGGACAGCTATTTAGTTAGTTAACTGTGTAAGGAGTCAGCCATCTTGGGACAGCCATTTGAATTAGTCAACCATGTATGGAGTCAGCCATCTTTGGACAGCTCCTTTAGTTAGTAAACTGTGTAAGGAGTCAGCCATCTTGGGACAGCCACCTTCCTCAGTCAACCATGTATGGAGTCAGCCATATTGGGACAGCTACTTGAGTTGGTGAACCGTGTATGGAGCCAGCCATCTAGTCAACCACATAGCATTGGCGACTAGGAGTCAAAGATGACCCAAGGCCGTGTTGAGGTAGCTAGATGCGGAACGGTGCCCTAGTGAGGTACCTGTGTTGGAATGGCTGGGCACCACCTCCCACAGGCAGCCCCAAGGCCGGGTGGCGGCAGGCACACTATTTCAGTGAGGCCGCCATGTTGAACTGGCAACAACAGCAAAACCGCTCAGTGACCTGGGTGTTGATTCTTAATCGGCTGAGCTTTATTACCTCGAATAACTGATCTGCCGGGTGGTGGGGGAGGGCGTTTTAAATCTCTAGTCCTTGGTGATGTCAGAAGATGCTAAGAATCAGAGGCCCCAGAGTTCTGAGGTCTGTGGGTCAAGTCTGACCTCTGCTGGAGTCTGGGGAGAGACAGCTTCCCTCAGAGGCCTTGACCTGGGGGGCTTTCTGCACTTTGGGGGCCGGGGAGGGGGTCCTGGACTCACTGGGCACTAGGGAAGGGGGTGTCTTGAGAGGAGGAGGAGGTCATCGGGGTTCCAGTACCCCCATATTCAAGGACTGGATTCCTTCCCCCTCCACTCACCCCCAGTCCTTACAGGGAGCTGGGGCATCTGGCCTGGTGGATCTTACCCCTTTGGGACCCAGGAAGACACTTCCTAGACCCCACTGTGGTCGGTCAAGGGGAAGGAGGCTACCAGGGGTCCCCAAACAGGCAAACAGAACCATCTTAGCTGGAGACACCACGCCCTGCTTTGAGATCCCGCTGTCTTTACCCTCAGGGTGCAGACCCTTCGAGGACCCAGGACCCAGTCCCCCAGCCCCTCCTCCCTCAGACCCAGGAGTTCTGACCCCCGGACCCCTCTTCCCTCGGACCCAGAGTCCTGGCCCCCAGACCCCTCCCCTCCCCCGCCCCGGAACCACCTCCACCCATGCTCGCAGTCCCGCCGGGCCCCACCCGTCACCTCGTCCCCCTCCTCCAGGGCCGTGTCCTCCTCCTCCTCCTCCTCCTCCTCCTCCTCCCCGTCGGCGAGCGCCCGGTCCTCCTGCGTGAAGGGCACGGCGCCCTGGGCCGCGTGGAAGCGCAGGCGGTACAGGAGGCGCACCCAGCGGCCGAACTCGCGGTCGCGGGTCTCGGGCGGGGCGCGCAGCTGCAGGTAGAAGGTGCGGCCGGTGCGGAACTTGACCTTGAGCTGCCGGCGGCACTCGTCGTGGACGAAGAGCTGGACGAACTGCAAGGGGAACAGCCTGGGCGGGCGAGGGGGCGCCTCAGGATCCCAGCCCCCACAGCGCGGTCCTCCCGCCTGGGCCGCCCCCTGGAGGAGTAACGCCTGCGTCTAGTCCCGTTTCACGGTTCCTCCAAACGCGTGGGTTTAAGTGCAGCTGTAAGATACCGCAGAGGAGCCCTGGGGGCGCAACGGTTGAGCCCGTGGCTGCCAACGGACTGGCTGGCAGTTCCAACCCGCCCAGAGGCCCGGCGTAAGAAGGCCCTGCGCTCTGCTCCTGTAAGGACCGCAGCGTAGGAGACACTTTGGGGGCAGTTCTCTGGGCCATGGAGTCTCTATAAGTGGGAGTGAACTTGACCACACACAACCACAATCCCATTCCTCTCCCCTCTGTGGGTCCCGCTCGCCTCTCTCCTGACCGCTAGACTGAGGGCACGTGTGAAATGGCCGTTTGGGTGTTGGCTTGACACGGGACGCAGAACATGTCCCAAATCCCAGCGCCTGACCTTCCCCAGCCCAAACCGCCTCCTGCCCCTGACTCTTCGCTCGCACACACCTCACCCAACTCTCAGCTGATCCCGGCAGCTCCTCCTTGGAGATGTTCTCACCATGGCGCCACTTCTCAGTGGCTCCCTGCCTGCCCTTGTCCCGCGCTGTTCCCCACGCGGCCACCAGAGGGCGCCCGTGAGCGCCTGGGTCCGCTCACACCTGCTCAACGCCCTCCCGCGGCTCCCGCCTCCATTGTTGTTGTTGTTATGTGCCGTCGAGTCGGACCCGACTCATAGCGACCCCTCCTTGGGTTTCCAAGACACTATCACTACGGAAATAGATTGCCCAACCTTCCTTCCGAGGAGTGGGTGGTGGGTTTGAACCACCAGCCTTCTGGTTAGCAGTTAAATGCCTTAGGCACTAGGCCACCAGTGCTACCAGAGCTCCCACCTCCATTAGAACAAGCAAAGTCCTCCCTGAACCCCACAAGGCCCTCCAAGAAGCACGGTCGCCCCTGACCTCAGGTCCCACGCTTCCGTGATCACTTGCTATTCTTCCAAAACACCAGGCACTGGAGACACGCCAAACCCATCCTGCCTGGGGCCTTAGCAATGGTTGTTCCCTCCGTGGAACAAATAAACCTACTGCCGCTGAGTCGATTCCGACCCACAGCGCCCCTAGAGGACAGAGTGGAACTGCCCCACAGGGTTCCCTGGACTGTCAATCTTTATGGAAGCCAACTGCCTCATCTTTCTCCCACTGAGCAGCTGGTCGGTTCAAACTGCCTTTTGGTTTGCACCACACACTTAACCACTGCACCACCAGGGTCCTGGTTGGTGAAATCTCTCAGGCTTTCCTTCAAGGCCCAACAAGGCAGACGACTGCAAGAGTGGGTGGGTGGGTGACTTGCCCCGCCGCCCAGCTGCGATGGGGAGCCCGGCCGTTCGCACTGTCACACGTGCCCTGTGAGCAGTAGTGACCTCCAGGAAGTGACCTCACAGATTCCCTCCCATGTGCACACAGGCTTCTGCCCAAGGATGTCCCCATGAGGCCATCTCCCGTTGCCTGTAACCCCAAGACACCAGCCAGCCAGCCACTCAACCATTATGTCCCCGCAGATGGAAGGGTGATGACCAGCCTTTACCGAATGCTCACTGTGCCTGCCACTGTTCCAAGTGCTTTACAAATAGCGACTACTGAGGCGGGCTCTTCTCTTACCCCCGTTTTCCGGATGAGAAAACTGGAGGCACAAGCGTGTAGGGACGTGGCCAGTCAGTAAGGAAGCCGTGAAGCCAGATTCTGAGCCCAGGAGCCCAGGCCGTTTGAAGGCAGCAGACACGGTGACCCAAGGGACGGGGCTTATGAACCCTGTGTCCTGAGAAAGGATCTCGTGGCTGGACTCATGCTGGTCTAGGAGTCTGCATACTGAGCTTACAGGGAATGAGAAGAGTGGACGGTAGCACACAGCACGAGCCCCCCCACACACACACACAGACACACACATGCCGGGCGGGATTCAAGGACTCTGGTGGTGCACTAGGGAGCTCTGGTGGTGCAGTGCCTAAGGCATTTGACTGCTAACCAGAAGGCTGGCGGTTCAAACCTACCAGTCACTCCCAGGAAGGAAGACTGGGCGATCTACTTCTGTAGAGATACCGCCTCGGAAACCCAAGGAGGGGTCGCTATGAGTCAAGTCAAGTCAATGGCAGTGACTTTGGTTTGGGCTTTGCTTCCAGTGGGTGTGGTTTGGGCTTTGCTCCCATCACGACTGACAGCCTTAGAGACCCTGTGGTGCAGTTCCACTCTGTCCTCTAGGGGCGCTGTGGGTCAGAATCCCCTCCAGGCACTGGGTTTGGTTTGGGCTTTGCTTCTGTGAAGGTAGGAGCTCTGGTGGCGCAGTGCCTAAGGCACTTGACTGCTAACCAGAAGGCTGGCGGTTCAAACCCACCAGCCACTCCTCGGAAGGAAGGTTGGGCAATCTACTTCTGCAGTGATACCACCTTGGAAACCCAAGGAGTGGTCGCTATTGAGTTGGAAACGACCCAACGGCAGTGAGGGTGAGGTTTGGTGGTGCAGCAGTGAAGCACTCGGCTGCTAACCATGAGGTCTGCGGTTCAAATCCACCAGGTGCTTCCCCAGAGTTGTAGGCTGGCAAACGCCAGAGGGCACTTTCACTCTGCCCTATGGGGTCCCTCTGAAGGAGCTCCGGTGGCTGCTAACCAGAAGGTAGGCGACTCAAAGCCACCAGCTGCTCTGTGGGAGGAAGATGAGGCACTCCACCTCCGTAAAGACTGACAGCCTTGGACACCCAATGGGGGACGCTAAGAGTCAGAACTGACCTGGTGACGGCAGGTTTGGGTTTGGTTTTATGGGGTCCCCGAGTCAGATCTGATCAACAGCCACAGGGTTGGGAGCCCTGGTAGCGCAGCGGTTGAGCACTCGGCTGCTAATCAAGAACAGCCTAAGGGTCAGCTTTGCTCGGCCGCATGATGTCACTGTGAGTCACTGTGTCAGACCTGTCACACCATGTCACTGTGAGTCAGAATCGATTTGACCGTCCTAAGACCACGTTACGGCTTCAAAGAGTCCCTGGGTCGTGTGAACGCTTAACACACGTGGCTGCTGAGGAGAGGCTAGTCTACCTGGCAAACTGCTTCCAAAAAAGCAGCCCCTGGAAACCCTCTGGAGCAGTTCCCCTCTCTCTCTCTCTCTCTCTCTCTCTCACACACACACACACACACACACACACACACACACACGGGTTTCCAGGAGTTTGCTCAGGAACAGCCCTGAGGCTGCAAGCTGGTGAGATCTGGGGTCCAGAGCGTCTTCAGAAACGTTTACCGAGCAAGTGCACCATTTCTGTCTGATGAGATGTTGATTTGTAGGGAAGGAGCCCTGGTGGCACGGCAGTTAAGTGCTCAGCTGCCAACAAAAAGGTCAGTGGTTTGAACCCACCAGTCTTTCTGCAGCAGAAAGATGGGGCAGTCTGTTCCCTAAAGACTTGACAGCCTTGGAGACCCTGTGGTGCAGTTCCACTCTGTCCTCTAGGGGCGCTGTGGGTCAGAATGGACTCCACGGCAGTGGGTGTGGTTTGGGCTTTGCTTCCATGAAGATTGAGAGCTCTGGTGGCGTAGGGCCTGAGGCATCTGACCGTTAATTATGACTGCTAACCAGAAGGCTCTTGCCTGCTAACCAGACGGCTGGCGGTTCAAACCCACCAGCCACTCCTCGGAAGGAAGGTTGGGCAATCCTACTTCCGTAGTGATAACTGCCTCGGAAACCCAAGGAGGGGTCGCTATGAGTCGGGGCCGACTCGACGGCACATAACAACAACAACAACAACAACCAGAAGGCTGGCAGTTCAAACCCACCGGCCACTCCTCATGAGGACGACTAGGCAATCTACTTCCGTAGAGATACTGCCTCAGAAACCCAAGGAGAGGTCATTATGAGTCAGGATTGACTCGACAGCAGTGAGCTGCGTTTGGTTTTGGTTAATCTTTATGAAGCCAACTGCCTCATCTTTCTCCCGCAGAGTGGCTGGTGGGTTTTTCGGACCGCTGAACTTTCGGTTTGCATCTGAGTGCTTTAACCACTGAGCCACCAGGGCTCGTCTTTACTTACGGTGGGAGGGTAAGTCAAGGCTGTAAATTGGCTCAAGTGAGTTGGTTTGTCAGAATCAGTTTCTGCTGCTGAGCCACGAAAAAGCCTCCGGGATTTCAGAACTGGGGACAAACTGGAGACAAGCGCCTCGCACTGCGAGCGTCCCCTATCCTCCGGCCGGCCCGCCTGCCTTATTTTTTCAAATTTTTGTCTCATTTTTCTGTATCTGTATTTGTGCTTTTCTGTCTTTCTGTTTGCCTTTTCTTTTTTCTCTTGTTAACTCTGAAATGCGGTCAATAAATGGGCACCACTGGCAGGCAGGGCACTTCTCCAACAGGCAAGTGGGGGAGGGGAGGGGTGCAGGGGAAGGATGAGGAGGTGAAGGGTGGGGTACAGGTGAGGAGGAGTGGTGTGCAGGGGAGGGGCAGGTGCCAAGGATGATTTCCTGTGTGTTTTATACATTGGAGTGTGTGTGTTTGCCTGCGAGTCTGCAACATTTTCTCAATAGAAAAACGGTAACAAGGTCTGAAGGGGTGGCGCCCAGCGCGGCATGGGAAGTTGAGAATCAGAGGCTGGCTGTCATCAGCAGCCACTAGGAGCCTGGGCTCGAATCCCAGCCCACTCCTGGACTCCTGTGGGACCCTGGGTGAGTGGTTCCCCGCTCCGAGTCTCAGTTTTCCTCTTTGGAGCTCGGGGATCACTGTGAGGGTACAAGGTCAGAGATGTGATTGTATGCATGGTCCGGGGGCCACGGTAAGTACCACACAAATGCTCCTTCTTCTAACTCTCCACGGTACAGCTGAGGCCTGCCCCCCCCCCCCCTTGGAGTTGGCCCCATGCACCAGGAAACGCAGCTGGGTCCGGCACCAGCCCCGTGACCTGATGCAGACCAGACCACTGTGGTCCATGGGGGGGGTCTCCTGGGTCATTTTTGGAAGTAAGTGGTCAGGCCTTTCTTCCTGGTCTATCTATCTTCATCTGCAAGCCCCACTGAAACTTGTTTGCCATCAGACCCACATGCAAGCCCCCATTAACAGACGGGTGCTCCTAAGATGTACTGGTAGGAAATGGAACCCGCGTCCCCTGTGTGGAAGGGGGGAATTCAACCATCACTGCCCTGTCACGTCTATCTGATTCCTCTTTCCGGGCCCTGAGGATGGCTCGGTCTTGGTTCTCTCGGGCAGGCAGCCATCCGAGACTCTGGGCCCTGGGAGCTGTCTGGGTGAGGGAGAGGATGCCCAGAGTCGAGGAAGGAGGCCAGGGTAGGGCCAGTCACCCGAAGAGTTGGAGGCGTCCGTTCTCCTTGGTGGGGCCCGCTAGCAGCAACAGGTCAGGGAGTTCCAGGGCTGGACTGGAGGCGGCCACTCCCATGGTGACTTTGTTGGCGACTTCTCCTAACCGGGTCACCTGGGGCCAGAAGTCAGAGGTTAGAGGTGGCGTAGATGGAGGTGAGGACTGGGAACCGATGAGCAGTTGGAAATCTTAGTAGGGCTCAGGGTCATGAACAAAGCGAGTTAAAAATGAGGGCAGGGGTCTGGGATCAAAAGTCAAGGGGTCAGGCGTCAGGATTCATAGGGAAGTGGAGGGTCTTGAAGTAAGGGGGATCAGAGGTCACATATTATGGAGAACTGGAGGTCGGGAATCCTCCGAGATGGACGTTATGCGGGAGTGGTCGGAAGAAGGGAGAGCAGGGGTCCCCAAGTCGTGAGGTGAGAAGTCAGGCTGAGGATCTGGGCTGGGAGGGGGTTCCCACCTGCACGAAGTTGCTCTCAAAGATGGGGAAGTCCCGCAGCTGGTCGAACTCGCCGCTCAGGAGGTGGCGCTGGAGTCGGCCAGGCCGGCTTGTGAAACAGGCTGGAGGCGGAGGGGCGGGGGGAATGTCTTTGTCAGAAGGCTGAGCCTGAGGACGTCCCGCGCCAAGGATGAGAGTGTCCGGGCTCACCACCTCGTCCTACATCAGGGCCCTTCCGTGCCCCACTTCCTCCCCCTCGGCCTCACCGCTCATCACCTGCCATCCCACCAGGTCCCGCCTCACCTGCTCCACCCAGGTCCGACTTTGGCTTTTCCGGGGTCATCGCCACGCCCCCTCCCCTCGCGGGGAGCGGAAGGAAGAGCCCCAGGAGGAGAGGGAGGGCGGGGCTGCCGACTCTGTGACGTCACGAGACGGTGGCACGGGTTTGCCTGACGTCACCAAGAAAGGGATCAGGTTGGTGACATCACCTGAGAGCCGGTGCCCGGAGACCCGGCTGTAGAGGCTGCCGCTCCGCTGACGTCAGGCCCCGGTTGCCGGGTAGCGTCAGTGCGCAGGCGTCAGGAGCCGGCGCAGGCGCACGGGCAAGCGGAATGGGGCGCGTTCCTCCCGGCGTGCTCCGCGGCCGCTTGGCTCACACCGGCCCTTTGACAGGTGGGAGCGCGCCGAGATGGCGGCGGCCGGCGCTGGGGCAACTCGGCTGCTTCTGCTCTTGTTGATGGCGGCAGCAGCCCCCAGCCGGGCCCGGGGCAGCGGCTGTCGGGCCGGGACCGCGGCACGGGGGGTGAGTTTTTATTGGCTATGCACAGAAGCCGGAGCCGGCCGAAATCCAGGTCTTGGGCTTTGAGAAAAGGTTAAGGTGAAAACGAGGCTGCGCAGGCCTCTGAAGGAAGATGAGGTGAAAAAACGGTAGCAAGCGAGGCTGCAGTTCTCGATGCAAAGGGCCTGCGCCTGGAACGACACCACACCGGCTGGGAGAGAAAGCGAGAGGAACGTTAGGAAGACTCCAGCTAATGAATATGCATAAGGGGCGTGGTTCCGATGGGCTCTTGGCGCCTGCGCGTTGGGTGAGGCGCAGCCTGCGCCAAAGGGAGAGGTTGGGGACCAGGGGGAAAGAACATAGGGATCCGCAGCTCGTGAATATGCATGAGAAGGTGTGGCCAGGGTGGAATCTGGCCAACCAAACTTCGCAGCGGTTAATATAAGAAAGGACAAGCTCTCTAGAGATTGGAGAGGAATCGTGCTTCGTGAATATGCAGGAAGGGCGGGAAGAGGTGCTTCGTGAATATGCATGAGGGGGCGGAGTCAAAGCTCGCAGGCTTCTTTAATGTGGAAATGAAGTTGCAGGCTCATTGGCGTAGGTCGGGGAAGGATGCAGAAGAAGGAAAGTTGGAGAAAATGAAGGGTTAAAAGTTGAATATATTTGAAGAGGCGGGGCTCAGGCGGCAAGGTGGCGATTGAGGCTGTTAAGGTGAAAAAGAGGCTGCCTGAATCTTTATGGGCAAAGCATTAGGAAGCCCTGGTTTGCACGGGGGTGGGGGGGCGGTGAGTCTGTAGCATGAATGTTCATGATTGTTTTCGGGGAATCCAGGGTCAGGATCCGCCATTGGGTTCAATATGAAAATAAGGCCCTTCTCTCAACCCGCCGGCTCTGTGTCCGTCCTGGGGTCGTGGGTTCGGCCCTGCCGAGGGGTGAATGGTCCGACCTGGGCCTCTTTCTCCTGCAGGCTGGTGCAGAAGGCCGAGAAGGTGAGGGCTGCGGCACGGTGGGGATGCTGCTGGAGCACTCCTTTGAGATGGGTGAGTCGAGCATCGATCGTTCCCAGCGACGCTACCCAGGGTCCTGGGAGTCAGGACTAGGGTCTGGCCGCTTTCCCCTGGACAGGAGGGCTGGGGAAGAGAACCACTGCAATTAAATGTCCCTTTGTCTTGTGAGAGGAGCCATGGTGGCGCCGTGGTTAAACCCTTGGCTGTAACCAAATGGTCAGCGGTTCAAATCTACCAAACAGGCAGGAGAAAGATGTGGCAGTCAGCTTCGGCGAAGATTGTTGTTTGTTGTTAGGTGCCGTCCAGCCGGTTCCGACTCATAACGTCCCCGTGAACAACAGAAGGAAATACTGCCCAGTCCTGAGCCATCCTCACGGTGCTTGCTGTTGGAGCCCATTGTAGCACCCACTGCACCAGCCCATCTCGTTCAGGGTCTTCTTTTCGCTGACCCTCCACTTTACTGAGCGTGATGTCCTTCTCCAGGGACTGGTCCCTTCTGACAACATGACCAAAGTACACGAGATGAAGTCTGGCCATTCTGAGGAACCTTGTACTGTACTTCTGTGCCTTACAGCCTTGGAAACCCTGTGGTGCAGTTCCACTCTGTCCTGCAGGGGCACTGTGAGTCGGAATAGACTCCATGGCACTGGGTTTGGTTTGGGTTTTGCTTCCATAAAACTGGGAACTCTGGTAGCATAGTGCCTAAGGCACTTGACTGCTAACCAGAAGGCTGGTGGTTCAAACCCACCAGCCACTCCTTGGAAGTAAGATTTGCAAACTACTTCTGTAGTGATACTGCCTCAGAAACCCAAGGAGGGGTCGCTATGAGTCAGGTCTGAGTCAACGGCATATAACAACAACATAAAGACTGACAGCCTTGGAAACCCTGTAGTGCAGTTCCACTCTGTCCTCTAGGGGCGCTGTGGGTCAGAATTGACTCTAGGGCAGTGGGCGTGGTTTGGGCTTTGCTTCTGTGAAGATTGACAGCCTTGGAGACCCTGTGGGGCAGTTCCACTCTGTCCTCTAGGGGCGCTGTGGGTCAGAATTGACTCTAGGGCAGTGGGTGTGGTTTGGGCTTTGCTTCTGTGAAGATTGACAGCCTTGGAAACCCTGTGGTGCAGTTCCTCTCTGTCCGCTAGGGGCGCTGTGAGCGGGAAGTATGCAAAGTCCTTGCGGAGGCCGCAGTCAGCATTTCGTAGCCCGCTTGTAGAATGATCGTCAGGTGCCCAGTGCCACCTAGCTGCTTGGCACCGATGAACTCAAGTGTCCCTGCAGTGTTAGTTTTGTCCCTGTTTTCTTTGAGGCTTAGAGAGGGCAGCGTGCCACCAGGGTCCCTTAGCAAGTGAATAGGAGGTGCGACCAGCGCCAACCCCCACCTTAAATGCCCCTGATGAGGCGCCAGGTTCTCAGAGCCAGACGTCAGTGCTAATAATGGAGCCCGGGCTCGTGTTCCAGGTCTTGCCCTCTGCAGACCTACGGAGCCGACCACAGAATCCTCTGGGAAGTGCGCCGCGGGGCCCCGCAGCCCAGTGGTTGGCCTTTCGGAGCTCCGCAGCTCCCTGGTTGCAACTGGAGAGAACGAGGCTCCGATAGCTCCTGTGCGGGCTCCCCGGGTCGCCTGACGAGGAGCAGGCCCGGCTGAGGAGGTCCGGAGCTCAGGCGCCTGCTTCGGGCTGTCCTGCGGGGCAGGAGGGCAGGCCGGGGTGGGGTGTCCCGAAGTGCAGGCGGGACCGCGGGGGCTCGGAGTGGGAAGGGGCGGAGGCGAGGTTGCACCCCTCTCCTCCCGCTGGGGCGGCAGAGACTGCTCTGGGAGGGTGGCTGCTGAACCCGGGCTCCCCGCAGATGACGCCGTGCACTTCCGGAAGCGCGGCTCCCTGCTCTGGAACCAGCAGGACGGCACCCTGTCCCTGTCGCAGCGGCAGCTCAGCGAGGAGGAGCGAGGCCGCCTCCGGGTGAGGAGGGGCCCGGGCTGTGGGCGGGGCCAGCCGGCTCTCCCGCACTGCCCCGCCCATGCCGCCTTCCGCCCTCGCCCTCCAGGGCGGCGGCAGCATAGCGCAGTGCGGGTGTGGGTCCGGTCTGCGGTGGCGGCATGCCTGGGGGCCTCGGCTGGGCTGTCCTCTCTACCTGGTGCCTGCCTCCCCCATAGTCTCCCAGCTCCCCAGTCCATTAGGGTGAAGTCCGGTTTAAGGAGGAAGGGGCCCTCAAACAGCCTGAACGCGAGTTTGCCCAGGGGCGGGGCTGAAGGCCCGGGCAGGCGGAAGGGGACCGCTGTCTTGGAGAGAAAGCTCACCAAAGCCACCGAGTCCCCTTCCTCGCTGAGTCTGTGGGCCAGAGGCTGCTGCGAGGCTGGTGAAGACTCGGACTGGGTGTCCTGCTGGGGGCCCGGTAGTCACCGTCGCTCTCACGGTCCCTGCTCTCCCTGCAGGATGTGGCAGCCCTGAATGGCCTCTACCGGGTTCGGGTCCCACGGCGGCCCGGGGCCCCTGAGGGCCCAGAAGCTGGTGGCTACGTTTCCTCTTTTGTGCCCGCGGTGAGTTGGGGACAAGGACCCAGCCCCTGCCTTGCTCATCCCAGCTGCCTCCCTCTGGTCCTGCCCTTCTTGCCCCCAGTGCTGACCGGGCGTGACCGGGGAGCGGGGCCCTCCGGGGTGCTGGGGCCTCCAGCAGAAGCGGCTCAGGGTGGTGGTGGGGTCCACGAGGCCAACAAGTAGGGGCTCGTGCCCAGGGGCGACCTGACAGCCCCTGGCCCTCTCCCTCCCTGCCCAGTGCTCCCTGGTGGAGTCGCACCTCTCGGACCAGCTGACCCTGCACCTGGACGTGGCCGGCAACGTGGTGGGCGTGTCAGTGGTGACGCAGCCCGGGGGCTGCCGTGGCCACGAGGTGGAGGACGTGGACCTGGAGCTGTTCAACACCACGGTGCAGCTGCAGCCGCCCACCACCGCGCCGGGGTGAGAGCTGAGAGGCCTGGCTGCCCCCACCCTCCTCCTGCCACCCCAGGGGCTCGCCGGCCCTCAGCCCCCCACCCCCGTCCACCCACCCGGCCCCTCACCACCCTCCCCTCCCACCAGCCCCGAGACAGCAGCCTTCATTGAGCGCCTGGAGATGGAGCAGGCCCAGAAGGCCAAGAACCCCCAGGAGCAGAAGTCTTTTTTTGCTAAATATGTGAGTGGGGCCCCCACCCCCGCCCCCCTCCCACAGGCCCAGCTGTCTGGGCCCTCTGCCCTCTCCTCTCCCTGGCTCTTAGGCTCCTGTCTGTCACCCTACAGGCCTCCTGAGTGTCCTTTCTGGCCCCTCCCTGAGCTAGGCTTGGGGAAGGGGGGCGGTGTCAGCTCTGGAAAACGACCCACCTCAGCAGCCTGGCTGATGGGGGGCTGGGTGGTACTGGGAACCAGAAAGGCTTGGGGGGGCATGGAGGTGGGTGGGGGTGGGGGTGGGGCGGGGGCGGGCCAGCGCAGACCCTCAGCCCAGTGGGGCTCCTTTGGAGGGCCGTGTGAGGCTGTGTGCAGAGAGACGTGGTCGGCTGGGGGGGGGGGGCTGGCCAGAGAGCAGGGCGTCTGGGAGAAGGGCCTGAGCTAGGGCTGGGGGCTGGGAGGGAGGGGACAGGCGGAGGGTTTGAGAGGCCTGTGGAAGGTTTGACATGAGCACTGAGGGAGCCGGGCAGCTGGGGGGCAGAGGGCCAGGTCTAGGGAAGCCCCGCTGGCCATGGCGTGGGGGGCGGCTGGGCCCTGGAGGCCCAGCAGGCGCAGGCTGGGCGGGTCGGGGTGGTGGGTCCCGCCTGAGGCACCGGCCACCTGAGTGTGGAGAGGGCAGGGCCAGCCTGCGGGCGAGGAGCGAGGCCCCAGTGAGGCTAGGGCGGGAGGAGTGGGCTCCTGAGACGGACGCTGAGCCCCCTGCGTGCTGGGCACTGACCCAGGCCAAGGTCAGGGCAGCAGGAACAGCCTCGGGGCAGGGAAACTGGAGCCCAGGGAGGCCTCGCCGGAGGGTCCCCGCCCACCCAGGGGTTGCAGGCCCCAAAGGCCCCTGACCTGTCCCCCTCCCTCCTAGTGGCACCTCATCCTGGGGGGGGCCGTGTTGCTCACAGCCCTGCGTCCTGCTGCCCCGGGGCCCGCGCCGCCACCGCAGGAGGCCTGAGTGAGGACCCCCGCCCGCCCTCCCGCACCCCTGCCCTCCTGTAGTGCAGTAGGGGACCTGGGCCCGCCTCACACCGCCCCTGCCCCGGGGCCTGGCGCGGGCTCCGGTGCTCACACTCGCCCTCCTCTCTCCCTGTGTCCGTCTGTCTGACCTCCAGTGGATGTACATCATTCCCGTCGTGCTGTTCCTCATGATGTCGGGAGCGCCGGACGCCGGGGGCCAGGGTGGGGCTGGGGGTGGAGGGGGCGGTGGAGGCAGCGGTCGGTGAGGGGCTGGGCCGCCCTGTGTCAACACCCTGTCCCCTCCCGCCCAGCGGCCACCCCAAGGAGGCACACCTCTCCGTCCCCCATCCTCCTCTGTCAGCGCATGTCAACGGCGGGAGCTGCCGGGCCACCCTGGCCAGTCCCTCCTCTGCCCTCTTTGACCCTATTGCGGAGCACTGGCTGCCTCCAGGGCCCTTCAGTGTGGCCTGTGCCCGTCTGCAGCCCCTTTGCCCTCGTCTGCAGCCCAGGCTCCCGGTGCCCACACAGCAGAGGCCAGGCTCCTCCCGCGGGCCCTGCCCCCGCCTCCTGAGCCTGCGCTTTTGGGAACGTGCCGAGTTCTCTCCAGCCTCCGTGCCTTTGCCGTGGTGGTCTCTGGGGCCCACCTAGTGGCCCCACTGGGACACGTGCTTCTGCCCAGTGACCCCTGACTGCTGATACTGGGTGGGCTGTGGCCCCTGTCTGTCACCCCCTGAGGTTGGCTGGGCCTGGCACAGAGCGGGCACACAGGGACGGTGGGGAGGGGGCCGTGGTCTGGCCATCACGTTGGCCTCGATCTGCCCAGTGGCCGTGGCCAGGCGGCTCCGAGCAGGATTTGGGGATCTCTGCCTTCCGGAGGGCTTGAAGGAACGTGTTGAAAAAGAAGAAACAGAGTCAGTGAAGTCGAGGACCGGATGGTTGATGTTCATAGGATCCCTTTGGCCTTGACTACGAGGCTCTTGACCGGGTACAGGGCAGTAGGAGGCCACGCTGGGGCCTTTGCTGTTGACCCTACCCACCCACCGCCCTCCTCTCTCCCTGTGTCTGTCTGACCTCACGCATCTTGATATAAAATATCAAGTTAAAAACATGGTCAGGACAGGATATCAAAACGTGTAAGAAAATACATTGAAACTTAGGAATGATTTGAAAGATTACAGCTTCCAGCAGCCAAGTGCACCAGCTCCGTCTTGTGGCTCAAGCCAGTTGCCCTGTGTGTCGGCTTGCCGGATTCTGGTTTCCCAGGTGATTCAGAAACTCGAGACAAACGTGGCGCAGTCGTGCGGCCGGGTCATGCGTGCTGTGGCCTGTGGCAGCTTATTCCACTGGCCCCAGATGCCCCACATTGAACCTGCTCCCTGTTTTGTGTGTTACGAATAGTGCCCCAGTGACTTGGAGAGGCTCCCGTGTGAGCTTGAATCCTCACCTGGGAACGCGTGACTATAAGTGGAACTACTGTGGCAGATGAAAAGATGCTTCATGAGTAAACAAGGCATCTGTGTGGTTCAGCTATTAAAACGGTATAAAAAGGCACATGGTGCTGAGCGGTGTTTGTCCCAATTACTTTGATCTGTTGTATTTTTCCTCCTGGAGGGTCTTTATGCAGTAAAAGCAGCTAGCAGCGTGGGCCTCAGAGATGAGGCGGGTTTGGTTCTACTTCGTGAAGATTTATTTACCTCCTCGGAAACCCAGTGGGGGGTTGCTATGAGGCGGAAGTGACTCAGTAGCAGTGGGTTTGGTTGATTTTTTGAGTGCACTGGGCAAATCTGCTGCAAAAGACCCCTTTAAAGTGCTGAAGAGTAAAGATGTCTCTTTGAAGACTGAGGTGGGCCTGACCCAAGCCGTGGTGTTTTCCGTTGCCTCGTATGCATGTGAAAGCTGGACAATGAAGATGGAAGACCAAAGAAGAGTTGATGCTTTTGAGTTGTGCTGGCGAAGAATGCTGAGTGCCGTGGACTGCCAGAAGAACTAACATCTGTCCTGGAAGAAGTGCAGCTGGAACGCTCCCTAGAGGATGGCCAAACTTCGTCTCACCTACTTCAGTCGTGTCAGAAGGGACCATTCCCTGGAGAAGGATGTCATGCTTATTAAAGTGATGTTATTGTTAGGTTCTGTCGAGTTATCTCCGACTCATAGTGACCGCATGCGCAGCAGAACGAAACACCACCAGGTCCCGCGCCAGCCCCACAATCCCTGCTATACTTGAGCCCATCATTGCAACCATTGTGTCAATCCATCTCGTTGAGGGCTGTGATAGTTGGAGCTGTGTGTCCACTTGGCTGGACCCCCAGTTCTGTGTGGTTGTTCCCATGATGGGATCAGATGACTGTGTTCTGAGAGGCCAGTCTGCCCAAGGGGAATTTCCCTAGGGGTGTGGCCTGCTTGCAAGATAACCAGGGACATCCTGGGAAGAGACACATTCTTTGAGGGATTGGAACCCTGGTGTGCGGACTACAAACTTCCGTGAGTGAGCAGCCCACCGCTC